AACTATCCCTCTCATATCAAAGGACCCCTCACATGTGCTGTATCTTGAAATTTCTGAAAGTGTCTTTACCTTTGCTCTTACTCTAGAAATACACCCACTGTAAACTAGTGTGCATCACTGTAGTAATAGCTCGAACTAGAACTGCAGAATTGTCACCCCAGAAGTTGAAGAAATTCACTGCCCACCTATGTGCATTTTTGCCTCAGAGTTGCATATGAAAGTTATGGCCACAGAAAGTGATGGCCACATGTATCCTGATAATTGGCATACAGCCATCCAATCTTCTCATTTTACAGTAGTTCTTGGCAAGCAAACCAGGAATCTGTTAATTGCTAATTAATAACATACTTGTCTTTGGGGTGGGAAAGGTTTAATCTTTTAATTGAGCAATTCCTACAAAATACAAGTAAATAAGAAACATTAACATTACAAAACATGAGTTTTCCCTCAATCTGTACTCAAACTAAAACAGCAGGAAAAACATTTTATTGGTCTTGACTCAAAACAGGCAACGTTATTCCTAACGAGAATACTCCCTTCTTGTTTTTTTGTGAGCAGTTTACAGGGGAATTAAACATACAACCCAGTAAAACTTGGTGGGAAGACTCACAGGAATGGAAACTTCAGTTTCGCATTTGAGACCTAGATCAGGGTATACGGGCAATGGAATCATTCCTTTTTATGGGACCCAGGTTAAGCTGTAATCTTGATGTTACTCCAAATAAGAAAGTGGTAGGGACTGAATACACTAACATCACCCAGCTGAAACATTCCTGATTCACCTATGAAACGTACACGCAACCAGAGTACAAATAAGACTTAAGTACAATGCCATGTCACCGAAACAAATGATATTTAAGGGCAGCTCAACAGTAATCCGCATCTCTCATTTAGATTATCAGTGAAATTTTATGTTCCTGCTGTGATTTATTTTTCCATCCTAATAAGTGCTTCTGATTGGAAAAGACATACAAGGGCTATAAGCCAGGTACAGTTCTGAGGCCTGATGCTGCAGTCTTCCCACTGCATAGCAAGTAGCATGTGATTAACTCACTAGTCACCATAAAAGAAACTATCACTCAAGGTGAACACCAGTTGCAAAATCTGGCCTGAGAACTGTTTCATATTGAGTATGTATATCATGAAATAGTCTTACCTCAGTAAGTGCATGCAGCTGTCCTTGATGCACACAGACACCCATAAACCTACAAGAAACAAGAAAAGAAAAGTGGTTTGGGCTTTTTTCCCCCCCTCTTTTTTTTTTTTTTTTTAATTTAAAGAAACTAAGATAATAAGAAGTACTGGAGATGCCAAGAAAGAAGGAAAAAGAAAAAGAAAAAATTCAGCCTCACAGATACTGCATACCTCAAGGTTGATTATTTAAACATCTCAGCACAAACCAAAATCATGTGTCTACACTACAATATAATTTGCATTGGCAGTTCCAAGAGAGCACAGGAGACAGCTCAAACTCAAGATGGAAAGTTACTAATTTGACTATAAGCAAAGGCCAGCATATAATGACTTGCGCAGAAAGGAACAGTCTCAGAGTTCTGTTTTAAGGAAGTTTAAGCCAAGTAATCCACTGTTGGTTTGCATAAATAGAAAATTACTTCCCCTTGCATTTTGCTGCTTAAGCATAAAGATGTTTCTTCCTATCCCATTCCTAACCACTCAGGAATATGAGGGCACATACGTGCAGTATACTTCCCCTCCCCAACCCCCTATTTCCAACACTTGGACTGAAGCAAGTTTCAATACTATGCAGGATACACACATTCCACAAAAGTTACCTACACTGCACAAGGTTCAGACTCCTGCTGTTAACAGTAATGACTGTCACCCTTGATTTTTCTGGAAAGCAATAGAGAACGTGCCATACATTTAATGAATAAGCAACAACTGAAAGCTCATTTTTACCACCGTACAAGCTGAACTTAAAAGTGACAAAATGCAAATTAATATTAACAGTAAACATCTCCCATGAGAAAGTTCAGTAAAACTTAAGTTGTATGCAGTTCAGAGCCCTCCCTGCACAGTTAAAGTATTAGTTCTTTTTCGATTAACTAATTTTCAGTTTTATCATTTAGATTTTGGTCTCAACAAGGAAAAACACACTGTTATTTCCACATCGTTCAGAAATTTCCACTTTGCAAGCAAGAGGTAGAAATGCATGATTTCATTAAATGTGACAGGGGAATCTTGCGGAGAACAATTTGAAGGAAAAGGACCCTTTTGTATCCTCAAACATTTCCAAATTTAAAAAACAAAATTATGCATGACACATGTAGTACTACTTCAGCTAAGCTGCTTTTGAAGAAATGAATGATCCTCACTGTTCTCTTGTCTAACAGCTGACTGGTAAATTACAAGCAGCCAAAGAAAAATAATATAGGTAAGGTCCTTTGCATAAGCTGAGCTGTGGAAATCTGTTTTTATAACCAAAGAAGCAGCAGGACTTGTACTTGAACGCCTATTGCCTGCTCTCACCTCAAATAATATTCCCCAAATTAAAGATGCAAATTTTAATTTGAGAGACAGTGAAAATCCAGTTCCTCTTGCTTAATGAAGAACAAGAGGGCACAACCAGGTATTCAGGGGAAAGGGAAAAAGGGTTCTTTTAGATATACCATCTACTCAAAACATTGCTGTTTCTGAGTTTCACTTCATACAGCAATTGCATATGAACAATTTTGTGAACAAATTGACAAATTAAGCTTCCTGAGACTAAGCAATTCAGATTCCTTCAGAGCAGAAATCTGTTTCTTCTTTAATGCATTCTGAAAGTCTCCACAGCTATCAGGCATGGTGTTAACAGCTTTATTCACAAGCAAAAATGGAAAAATATCCAAGATATCAGTTCCATTATTAGACAACTTTTGAAAGTATTATTTTCTCTTTTATGAAACATTCTAATGACACAAGGTTAACCCAGTACTGCAGTATTTTCATTCAACAAACACTGAGGCTAAGTTATTAAAAATAATAATGTTTTCACCTATATATTAACTCTTCCTTTGTAAAGGTTTATTACATTACTTTCAAATTAGGAATTCATTGTATTTGACTTAGTTCTAAAATATGAATGCAATTAAGAGCTTATCAAAATTTTGGAAAAATTAAATTTCTTGTCTCATCTTTACCAAACAGGAAAAACATCACTGTCACCCAAAGACTGGTAGAACTTAACTTTTTCTGCCAAGCTGTTTTGGTCAAGGAAAGTCTCAGTGGAAACCTTTGTGAACCTACGCTTAAGGCAGAAAAGACACCCTGGCTCAAGTTACCAAGAGTAAGAGTTCAAAAATTCTTGAACATTTAGGGTTTCTACTGGGAAACAGACACACATTTCTAACTTTAAATCAGAAATTAAAAATAAAGCTCAGTATCATGATCTCATGGAAGAAAGCTGGACATAAAGATACATTTATAAACCCCACACATTTAGAAGTTATTACCCAGGAAAAGAGAAACCAGATACACTGATAAAGACAGAATTAATGAGTTTACAAGCAACATACTGAAACCATTTAAACTTTGTATCAAGAATCTCATTTTTCAGACTCTGGAAAATAGATTGATAGAATAGACCTCTAGTGATCCAAATTCCTGGAAAACTTCTTCTCAGCTGCTGTATCAAGCAATAATAAGCCTCTTGGTTAAGCCAAGTACTGCTACAAAACACTGTTGGAAAGCATTTTTGCTAAAAGATAATACACATGCAGCTGCTACCAGGAAATACAATTACCAAGCAAGACTTAACATAAGATTTCAATTTCTGAGATTGCCCCAGATGAGATTCCAAGTTCTGTGGATAGGAAGCTGACATGCTGGCCCAGTACAGCTGAGATTAGTCCTGTTGGCTAGACGCACTGTCTCCAGAGCCAAAATGTGCTTGTAGGTGAACTTCAGCAGAATCTCTTGTCAGCCAAAGGTTACACTTCCTATAAGCATTTCTAGTTGGAAGACGCTTCAATGAGCCAGTCATCCACAAAACAGGAGACCATTTGCAGATTTAAGGAAGTTTATTTTCAAGACAGCGTATCTGGCCTTATCAGGAAAGCTGAAGCACTTCCAAAATCATAACTAGTAGTTGGAAAAGTTTCCCCAGAAGCTGCAAATATGAAGGATGCTATTGGAGTCCACCCTACTAAATACAGCGCAGCACATTTCCACTACAAAATGCTTTCTAACAAATGTCAGCAATGTTCAGATGTTGGAAGTCTCTTTCCATAAACCAGGTTACTCCTCAATCAATCTGGAATACCTGCACTCCTAGACAAGAGCAAGAGATGGTAGTCTGGATATTTATTAGTCTGTTAACAGCAGTTACCCAAACTGCTTTCAGTTCAGTCTGACTGCAAGGGAGAAAATTCTGGACAGGAAGGGGGAGACAAAGAACTGTAGCCTCAGCCTGCAATCTTTGCCTCCTTGATAAATCAAACAAAACTAATATCCAGATTATACAGCCACTGTGGACATCTAGACACTGAACACATGCTTCCCATTAAAAGAACTTCACTGGGACACCTTCCTGTTCTGTGGATAAACCTGGGGCAGCTACAGTCCAACATGATAAATTGATGCCCTCTGAAATCTACTGCTTGTATGAGAAAATTCAGCAGTTTGATGATAACATTAAAAATAAGAAACAAACCAAACACACCAGTACAAAAGTAGAGACTCATATGAGCTCAGTAACACAAAGAGAAACAAGGTCAAAAGGCAGATGCTTATTTCATTGCACTGATTGTTGAAGAATGAAGAGGGCGAGTAAGAATATTAAGTCTGCATTAAGACCTTCCTTAATGTTTTAGGCACCATGCTACATTAAAAATGTATTTTAAGTTTTCTACACTTGCATTTTGATTCAAGACACAGAGGTAAGGCATTTCATCTGTCCCTTCTGTAACATACACAATGCATACAGCCTCTCTTCTGCTGTCTTGTGCACAGCATTTCTAAAATACTCCTTTTTTGATAACCACGTTACACAGAGAGAAGTATTTTTCTTTTCTGTTAAAGCACTGTTCAATACAGGACAAAGGATGTTAAAAGACAAAAGCAATCCTTCTGCCTATTGTAGCAAAGTCAATCACAAGTAATTTCACAAAAAGGAAGGTTTGACAGAAGAAAACTGCACACACAAAAAAATGGTATTGTGTTCCCAGGGTGCTAGATTTGTCTGAAAGGAGATCAAATAAAATCCTCCTTGAAAGAAGTTCATGTAATACACTGCTTGCTTATTGGGGGAAGGGTTGTGCGCATACACAAGAAGGTGGATTTAATCAATGAGTCAGTCTGCCTGCGCGCTCACTTCCAAATATGCAGCAATATCTTCAAGCACTCCCATGAGAGCACTTAAGTCATGACCTAAGGTTTTCTGTGTACAGAATGTTTTAAATTAAGTCCCCAAGGTACAGATCAAATAAAGAAATACTTTTTCATGCAAACAGTAGTGATATTAAAGACTGAAATTCAATCTCAAAATTGAAGATACACTAATTTCAGAGACAGCACAGGAGATGGAGAATCTGTGTTAGCACACCACTTCATTTGTGAAAATGAGAAAAACACACCTGTAGGACATTACCAGAATAAAAAGGTATCAGTTCTCTCAGGCTGCAGCCCTAAGGCTCCCAGCCTAGGACACAAGGACGAAGATTTCTTGAGTCCTTTCCAGCCCCATTTTCTTACTTTGATTTGGGTAAAAAGTCATGACTATGGCAGCACATCAGCATTTAGAGAAGCAGCAAAGCAATGAAGAACATTTACAAGCATACACCAGACCTTTCATAACCCTGGTACCAGATCTAACCCAAGCCTTGAACAGCACTGAGCTTTAAAAGGGACACAAGCTAGTAAGGAAGCGAAGAAATGCTCCAAACCTCTGGTTCCCCTAACCCCAGCAATTACAGTCTTACCACGTATCAGCCAACCTGTATTAAAGCGGCTATATATCACATGGTGCAAACCAGAACCCCAGCTCACTTTTCCACTCCTGCTCTTACCATCTGTTTTGAGGGAAGATGTGATAAAGCCAACACATCCCACACCCAGGACAAGGAGAAGTGTAGATCAGAGGCAGAAAAGCTTTTAGTCCCCCATGTTTAGCTTGCGTGCAGGAGTGAGGTGGAAGTAGGAGATGATAGGAGATGGGGTTGATGACAGAAACAGAGCAGAGTGCTCCATGAACACCACTAGTCTGCTTTTGCCCTTTCCACTCCTAAAATGTCCCTAAGCTGGTCCCTGGAGAAAAAAGCAAAAACAAAAAAAGCAGATCTTTCATACATAGTTTCTTATGATCACCACACTGTGACTGAACAAAAAGTTACATTACAGTTAAAATCTACTCTGCCTCTGGAATCGTATCTGTTAATTGAAATAGGAAGCAAGAGGGAGGGAGGAAAAAAAACCACCAACCTCTAAATCCCCTTACTTTACCACCATACCAATGTAGCTGCAAGAGCTGGAATCTTCTCCCAAAATATCCTTAACAGACTGAGAAAGAGGTTCCATTTTTGCCAAAATAACCCCTTTAATAGAGCACAGTTTCTCATTTTCTTGGTGGAAAATACATTAAAAAAATTTTTTTATATATTTTTATATTTGACCACTAGAATCTCTGTGATACTACCATGGGGATGGTATACTTACTGGGGACTTGGCAAGCGAAAACTAAGCTCTTCATTTACATCAGTCTTCTGATCAAGATGGATCTACATAGCTGGCCAAGAGCAGAATTTGAGCACAGAAATACTGAAATGAGTAGGGACATTTCAAGTTAGCATTTCACTCCATGCCCAGCAACACGAGTTATTTTTAAAGCCTAAATAACCAGACTGATACTTCAAGAATTAGAAGCAGGGAAACTGAAACACATTGACACAACTCCATCTCCTATAATAGTACAAAAGTATCACTAAAGTAAGAACACAAGCCTACCTCTAGGTAGTCTCTGCCGAGCTAAGGAATGGAAGAAAGTCAGCAAGTACTGACAAACTCATACTCCAGAATGGTGGTTGTGGATAGGATAAAAACCTCAAAAGGCATCTGTAACTGTGAAAATGAGTTGACAGGGACAGCACAGAAGCAAAAGCAGCTTCAAATAGTCAGCAATATTTATTATTCACATCAGTGCAATCAATGGCAAAAATACAAGAATCTTTGTAGTAACACCTTGAAGTTAACTGTGGGCACATCAGAATGGATAGCTTGTAAAAAAGTTGCTATGTATTTTGGAGCACTGGCAAAGGGATGGGTTTTTTAATTATCCAAAGGATAACAATGATTTTTGGCTATCAAATACACTAGGAAGAGGAATCTCTTCTCTCTTCTGTATCACTTAGTTCATATAAACCAAGGAAGATTCAATTACAAATTTTAGGTACTAAAGCATCAGGATGGTCAAAAACATAACCACGCCCAGATTAAGGGAGATTTTAGTATGCTAAAATAAATGCATCATTGCTGAATCTGACATTCACTTTCTAAAACATTAACTGACTGAACTGCATGTGTTGAAATAGGTTGAGAGCAGACTTGGGATGCCGTAAAGCCAGTATCTATCCAATTTCTTAACTTTACAAGCCATTTGCTATCAGAGCGCCTTGCAGCCCTCTACCTGCTACAATTAACTACTGCATATGGCCTCAACATTTCAGCCTAAGAATCCACTAGTATCCTTACTGGCAAACAGATCAGCACTAAGGAAAGTAACTTCTTTACAGCATAAGTTAACGGTAGGTAACCCTAGAGCTTACAGAAGATGAAGCAGCTCAGATGTATATATTACATAAAATCAGAGTACACCTTCAAGGCAAGTGGAGGAGATCCAGTGACTAATCAATAAATAATTAAACTTGATGCTAGTAACAAAAGAGCTTACTCAGTAATATAGAGGAAGAACTTCAAAGGACAGAAATTGAGGAAAATAACATTTAACAGCAAGCTGACATAGCTCATAGTCCCTGGAAAGGGGAAGTTATACATTAGAACTTATTGGAAGAGGCTCATTCCCTTTAAATACTAATAAAAGCTTAAAATTTCCAAAAATAATCCCAGAAAAATGTTTCGGCAGGAACATGTTGCTGTAGAACATTTTCCTAGTGACGTCTCAGAAATACTACTCCAGCTGCTCTTACTTGACAACACGATGTTTTTACCTCTCACCACTTTACTATAGAAGCAAATTATTATCAAATACTATTTTTACTGTGTTTCTAAAGTGGGAGATAGGTCCTAAACTAATTTTTACAACACTAGTAGAAGCACCAATGATTAATAGGTTTCTGAAACATAAATACAGATGTTTGCATGCATGTGTATGTATATATACAGGTTTATATAGACACATAGGCAGGTAACATTTACAAAGGGCAAAATCTCCCCACAGATATAAAGGGAGTGGAAACACTGCAGTAAGTGATTTTAAACCAAAAATAAAATTACATATAACTAACGCACAAAACCACCAAGTTATCTGCTACAGAAAGAAAAATAATAGTTTTTACTGTGCATTATTATTCAATAAAAGAATAAAGTAAAACTAAATACAGTTTTCTCAATTGCATTTTCTGTAGGAATGTCCTTGCTCTCTGCAGCAAGGGTAACTTAACTAATACATAAGAAAAAGGCAGTATTTTTTTACCAGAGTACCAACTCTCTTTGAAGAAGCCTCAAACCAAGCAACTCATAAAGCAAGTGTAGTTCATTCTTCAAAACAACTTAGGCAAAGATAAACCATTTCTATTTAAGTAATTTATTTCTTATGTATTCACTCATAACTGCTTAGTTGAGCACACAGGAAAAAAAAAATTCTCTATCAATCCTGTGTAATAACTGGGAGACCAAATGGAATTCCTTTTCTGCTTCATGCATAAATCAATACATTATTGTTCTTTCTTCAGGACCATCTGTGTAACATGACTGACTTCAAATTATTCATAGGCTCTAAGGCCAGAGGGGACTGGTGTATCATCGATATGATCTCTTAGACATCGTAAGACATTTAAATTTCAGCAATTACTCAGAACTGAGCACAATAACTTTTGTTCTCAGCAACACCTGTGTAACTCCATTCAAGGCGGGGCAGGGTTACATCAAGCTGCAACTGAATGCTTTTTGCCTGTCAAACTATCCCTTTCCTACTTTCCCTCACCCCAGCCCAAATTAAATACTTTATTTTGAACAGAGTTGTAAAGCTAGGTGGTTTTTAAAATAAGATTTACAAACTACACAAAGTTGATAAACTGATGAAGTGTACTGACTTCATGATTCTGACAATGCCAATCCTATGAAGTTATTCTGTCCACAAACCTTACTAAAAAAGCAGCTGTATCAGTCCCCAGAATCGTACGCTGCTTATCTAAGGATTCTGAGGGAATGGAAGTGGTGGATAGATATAAGAAACAATTCATGATCCTGAAACCTAAAAAGCCAAATATCTGACATAATTTTAAAAAAAAGTCCACAACAACCAAACAAACAGAAGAGCCAGAGGAGTTGCTGGGAACTCACCTCACCGTGAAGCAGAGAAAACAGACTAAGAATTCTAATTAGGGACAGCTTACTATAACACTTGAATAAACATACTGTGATAAAACCAATACAGTTTACCATGAGTAAAAATTCTCTTAAGTTCAAAGGTTTTTGGGGTTTTAAGAAAAAATAACAGAAAATAGGTATGAATTAATGGAATGCTCCCTACAGATAGTCCAAATGCTTCTGATATGTCTCCTCATAAATACTGAAGGAAACAAACAAGATAATTTCATTTCACATCAGTTGATGAAGACTGAGCCAGGATTTCAAGGATCAGAAAAGTTGGTTATAAAGGATTTTAGGAATCAGTAGTACGTCTGTACCATTTAACAGTCCAGTGAAGAAGAGGAAATTAAGTTACCTAAAGTTTACTGTGTCTCCAAAACTTTTCAGAAAGAGCTGTACTTCCTGAGACTACCAAATTGGATCCCAGCTGTGCAACAGCAGTTTAGGAGAACTGGTTATTTGGTGCACTGTCATCACACCTTTAAACTTCTTAATGTTATGGCTTCAGCTAATTATGTTAATTGCTTGTCACATCATCATAAGAGAGTAACCAAGACTGAAAAGATTCAAGGAATAACAAGATACACATTGAAACATTTTGGATTTCCATCCAGTAATCTATTGCAAAACAAGAACTACCTTTTTCCTTTCACGAGCAGATAAATCACACTAGTTCAACTTTAGCTTCTTTTCTTTAGTCCCTTTTATCCCACCTTGCAATATTACATTAAGAAAATGCTAAGAACTAGAAAACAGACCTAAAAATACGAGGAATATGGCACTTTGCATTGTTAATCTGCAAGATTAGTAACCACAGATTATTTGAATGGTGTTAAATTTGCAATAATTTAAATTCATGAAGAGAAGCCAAATGTCACTCTTCCAATCATTTTACTGATTCATCAGAAATTTATAATGTGAAAACTTGTTTTTCTCTGAAATAAGTTACTCATTACCAGTAAACTCCAGATACCAAAATCATGTGGGTATTCAATTTGCTCAAGTCTTTTCTTTCTCGTCCCCTTCTTCCATTAAATTGAAAGCTGATCCTAACACATTCACAACAGATACAGCTATAATAAAAAAAAAAAAGAAAAAAAAAGGAAATAGGAAAGCCCTACTAAAGACAGCCTATCTCTATATGATTCAGAAAAAAGCCAGTATACCTTAAGATGTTTGGATGTGAGAGTCTATTCATAAGTTGAACCTCTTTCAGCATGTTTGCTCTGTTGCTGTTCAGTTTGTTCATCTTCAAAGCCATTACCTGGTCTGAAGTTCTGTGCCTTACCTATAGGATACAAGCAAAAAACTGTAAGGATATGAAATGCAAGACAAAAAACAGTAATTTTGTAGTACAACTTAGAGAGCCTTCATGACAAACGACTTGATCTATACTCTGATTTCCACACAAATTACTTTCTATAAGCATACCATCCAAATGTGAAAAGGTATTTTGCTCTTCTCTTGCAACTGGGTGATGACAGAAAGCTTAAGAAGATGAAAAAAAAAAAAAAATTATCAACTTCTTAGTACAAGTGAAGGAAGCCACTTATTTGTCCAACGAGAGAGAGTTTCCTACTCCAAGACCTATGAAACTCACCTTTGTTCCACCCATATCCCTCTTCTTTTCCCACTGCAGTGGCCAGTGTCACTGTTCCACAGAACGTGTTATGAGAGGGCCTGCTGGTTACAGCTACAGGGCAGATTTCAGAGGTATTCAATGTTTAATACTGAGCCAAGACCACGAACCAGATTATACATTCAGTGGACAAAGCATTCATACCAACCCCTGCTGCAAAGCAGAGAGGTTACTGGACATGGTATCATCTAGTCTAGGCTGTTCAGTAGTGGCTGCAGAGTGTCAGCATGAAAAAAGAGGATTTCTCTAGCAACTGCACAGAACTAGCACACCATTCAGAGTTACCTTCCCCAGTCAGAAATGCATGATTGTGGCCATTTCTAACTCAATACTCTCAAACTAGCCTATTTGTCATCAGCAAGCAGACGAATGTTATGTAGATGTGTGCTACTATCAGAAAGGAGTTGTCCCAATAGTGCAAGACTTGCCAAGCCTTAGAATTTCCTTGCAGTTGAGCATTCCCACGTGCATATCAGCAGTATTCATGGAAATTCTGTTCCCATTATTTTCTTCCTACATCAGTACCACAGCTCATAAGCAGAAAATGTGTACTTCTCAAAGCACTGAACTACTACCATGGCAAATTCATTGATGTTTATGGAGATTAGAAAAAGTTTAGAAAAGTCTATGATGCAAGAATTTAAGATTCATCAGGTTTCTAATTTAAAAAAAGAAATCTACATTATGATGTAGGTACATCAAACTACCTATATTTTAAACAATGGCAGCCTACCTCCTTTTATTCCAGCAGACTCGGCTCATCTGTTCCAGTACAAGGCTTCTTTAGCTGTGATTTGTGAGTTACAGAAAGAAGGGCTGAACTCAGGATAAGCAGATGCAAGAATAAAGCTGGGTATGTTTTTTGAAGGTGAGGCTCACTAGTAGGTCTGAGGCACCAAGTGATACTCATTTCCAAGTTTTATTTGCACACCAGATCTTCAAGAACAAGGGGCATATTTCAGCTAAACATTCTCACATAGACACAAAGCACCATAAATTCAGCACAGGGATGTACCAGGAGGAAAGAGTAGTGTCCCTGGCTTAATGCTTCCAAGTTGCCTATTCCCATCCTAGTTTGGGGTATAGAGTGACACTGGAAACATCTCAGTTCAGTGCAGGAAACATCGAGGGACTGAGTGAGTAGAAAAATAGCCCACAGATACTTTTTCTCCTGCTTCCCCCCCTGCCCATGAGCTCCTCAGCTGCCTCACCCACAGTCACCCAGTAATCCCAGTACAAGAAGGATCAGAGAAAGGAGGTCGAGGATATAGAAACCAGCACTGAGAGCAGAAACCAACAGCAAGTTCATAAGCATGGGACTCCTCCTTTCAGTGGCAATACTGGCTTTAAAGTAAAACTAGTCAAACTACAGTTTTATTGCATTATAACAAGATAATCTAGAATCCTTTTGCACATAACCTGTCTTGCCTGTTTGGCATGCTTATTGGTTTTAAACAGGATGATTGCATGTTAAGTTGATGAGGTTTATTGTTACTTGTCAGGTTTCTTGTGTCTATTGTGTGCTTTCATTAATTTTTAATTACACAGCTTTTGTATACCCAGTCAATTTGAATGAACAAGCCAAGTTGGACAGGTCAATGTCTATATACAGACTTTTAAATCTATATTTTAGTTATACATTAGTTTTATTAGCAGTAATGCTCTGGCTGAGGAATAAAAAAATTTTAAAAATGCTTTCATGGACTTAAGAAATGAAGATTTGTTCCAACAACGCAAATTTAAATTAAGAAGAAAGGACAATTTGAAAGCTTTGCATCTATACACAGCAGCTAAATCAGCACACTTCCTCTGGGAGCAGGGTTAGGAATCTTGGGTGTTGTGGTAGAGTAATTTGGGGTTTGCAGGGAACAGGAAAGAATTTGAAGGAACTTAACTCCTACAGGCAGAGAGATGCTCTCAACAGAACTTCCTCAGAAATCAGCTTTCCACTAACACAGGAGCTTCAAGGTCTGCTAACAGGGAATGAATAGAGGTAGAAGGCAAGCAGGAACTTAGATGGAGTGTGGTCTTAAGCAGTATTTGCCTTCTTAATAACTCTGCTAGCTACCTCTTAATTTCCTGCCCACTTCTATAATTCACTCAGTTCCATACTAAAATTTCAAGCCCTTTTACCTCAACTCCGAGGTAAAAGTAGAACCTATCATAGGATCTTCTTCCTTGCTCCTTGCCTTTTCCTTGTTCTGACCACTCTTCTTGAGCTACGGAAACCTCAGAAAAGAGGGTGGGTAAGTTTTTGGGGCACTGTGTCCTGCATGCTTCCTGGATTTTCAGGTCTGATACACAAGAGGGAGTGGTTAGGAACTGCTTCTCAAAGGTCTGACTGCCCACAGTACTAACTCCATATTCAAAAAATTGAGCTGCTTTTGCAAAGACCAAATTTTTCATCCTCCATTTCAGAAGGATATTCTGGAGTCTTTTCAGTCTTGATAGACTGAACAAGGTTCAGTGGTGAGCTCTTGAGCTTTCTCATTCGTTTGTTTTGTAAAATAATTTTCCCCATGCTTGGAAATAGCTCAGCTTGCTAGCATATACAGCATATTCTGTCCATATAACTGGTCTCTAAACAGCACCCAACACTGTGCTATGCTTTGTTTCACTTAAAGGGACACTGTATGGTAATGCCAGTGATTTTATTTGAACTTCTGTATATTGTTCTGATGTTGGAGGGTGTATTCCTGATGAATCTGACAGAAAAGCAAATTATCTAATCAAACCAAAGGGGAGGTGGGAAAACAGGGACTCTTCCCTTCTTGCTAGCTGCCCTTTAAGCAAGGAGGAAGAAACAGCACTGAAGATGGGAGGGCATCTTCTCAAGAGGACGATACCCAATATTATGAATAAAATCAAATACCACTTTGTATATTATGGAACACAATGCTAATCACTTGGAATATACATAAGGCTAATTGCGTTCTCTCCTCTGAAGCACTGCTGGCAAGCAGTATTTCCATGGCAAGAACAGACTGCCAACGGGGAAAAGATATGTCCTATCTTTAAGGTCTCGGTCAAGCTCCGGATCATCTACATAGAAGGAGCTATCAGTTACACTACCCTCTGTACCTACTTACCTGTCAGCCATACCCTAGACAAAATTTGGGTCTACTTTGTCATCCCGTGCCAAAACCCTGCCAAACTGTTCAGTTTTAATCCTTCATCTCCTTTTAGGCCACCTCTGTGCAATGAAAGCATGGAAGTGATGTTTCAACCACCTGACTGCTCCAGAAGGAAAACTAGTAAATATTTTGGAAATACTGCTGATCCAGTTTAACATTTGTTTACAAGGCAGTTTGCTTCAGGCATATGCCTGTATACTCAACATAAGCAGGGATTCACTCGTGCAATTCAAACCCTTTCACTGATGCAACTAGCAGATTGCTGTAAAGCTTTTAAAGCTGTTGACATTATTATTAATTAGGGTTCCTTGCATATCAGACCAAGTAACCTTTCAGTGATGTCTGGATGATCATGTCTCTGCTTAGAAATATTCTGACAATCCTACAGCTGCTTTCCCATGCTGCTTTGCATGCGCTTCTGACTTCTCAGTCTGCTTACCTAAGTGTCTCCATCTCCGAGGTCACAGTAACCAGATATTGCCTCCTGTTTTATTGCTGGCAGGCAGTTAAACTGTCCCTTTGCACTCTGATTCTTCTAGGATCAAAGTACTTTGTAAGTACTTTGACCTGGCTATGGCTAGCTGCATGGCCTGCCTGCTCACTGTGTCTCCAAACCATGTTCTGATCCTGCATCTTACCGCTTCCTTTAGAAGAAGGTGAGAATTAGAGGAAGTCATGGATCCAGGTACAGAAATAGTAATATATTTGAAAGAAAACTCATAATAGTGATTGAGCAGAGCTCACATTCAAAAAAGCCAGTCGCTATATAAATGCTGCACCGAGTTCCTACGAAGAATATCCTGCAAAAATTGGTAGTTTTATTCTCAGCTTGCTGCTTAGCAATGAAATTCTTTATTATTAAAAAGCCCTAAACATAATTTAAATAATTATTTAAGTCATATAGATATGTCAGGCCTTTCCGAAAATCCAAACCTTTATATTCCTTCCACATTTTGCATGGACTGAAGGAGGAGGAGCATTTAAGCAATAGCTGAAATCTAGCCTGATTTCATCTTTCACAAGGCCTTTTTGACCTTCACTATTAACTGTACCTTTCCAGGTGTCCTTGGAATGAGCATCTGAAGAACATCTCCTAATATTGGTGTTATAAATCTGCCACTACAACTTTCAGTTTTGCCCCTAGTTTTTCACTGCATTTTCATTATTTTCCAACTATGTAATGATGACTGTTCTCTTCCAAAACTGCATTTAATTGCTTTCCAGTTTTTTCCTACCTTTCCCTCTTCTGATATCTAGCCTCAATGCTTAATTACAGATCTTATACAGCCTACTACATAAAATCATGTTGCCTCTCTATCTCTAGCACCCACACCAATTCTTTCTTCATTCTTTTACACACCTCAATCTTCATCTGTCCATTTCACCTTTGCCTTTCCTGCCATGTGTCCAAAGTACCATTTTAAAAGCAACTCTCTCTAGCCCAAATAGACGACCCTCCCTGAGTTTGCGTCCTGTTTCTGAGCTCACTGTATTATCCACAAAAAATGCTGCACATATTATTTTTACTTATACTGGCTCACCAACTTTACACTCACCAATTCAAATGTTTCCTCCACACTCAGCCTGCAGCCTTCATGCTAGTGACATATACGGCAAAGGTCAAATGTCTTTTTATTTACCTATGCCACCTACTATCAATCTCTTTTCTGTAACAGTCTAAGCGTCTTCATCCGATTTGCAAGTATTTTCTCTTGCGATGACAAGAGATGAAGACATTACCTTAGTTACCTTTCTAGGCTGCTTGCACTAACTATGCTATATAGTATCATTCTATGTTTGATTGAAGAAAGCTCCCTTTAATTGAGAAGAAAAACCTGTTCT